TCTACAGAATCACCTCGAATATCAATGGGTTTGTCCACACACCCTTTTCCCTGGACACAGTGCTCTACATTCTTGGCCGGAACCGGAAATTCGATGAAATCTGGGTTCTTCTGTCCGAAATCAAGAGAAATGATCGGTCCTTGATCTCCCCAAGAACCGTTCAGGTCGTCTTGGGCCGGGTGGCTAAGGTCTGCTCGGTTAGGCAGACGGTCGAGTCCTTCAAACGGTTCAGAAGGCTCGTCAAAGATTTCGACGTAAGCTGTTACAACGCGTTATTCAGAAGCTTGTGCCAGGAAAAGAGCATGAGTGACGCCAGGAATGTTTACCACGCCTTGAAGCGCGAGTTCCGGCCGAATCTTCAGACGTTCAATATACTGCTCTCCGGCTGGAAATCGCCGGAGGATGCCGAGTCGTTTTTTGACGAGATGCGGGACATGGGTATTGAGCCAGACATTGTGTCTTACAATTGCTTGGTGGATGTTTACTGCAAAAGCCGGGAAATGGACAAGGCGAATAAAGTCGTGAGTAAAATGAGGGATTTGGGTATAGATTTGGATGTGATTACTTACACGATTTTGATTGGCGGGCTGGGATTGATCGGCCAGCCGGATAAAGCCAGAGAGATTTTGAAGGAGATGAGAGAATACGGGTGCTACCCGGATGTGGCTGCTTATAATGCTGCCATAAGAAATTTTTGCATTGCGAAAAGATTAGGAGATGCATATAGGTTAATGGATGAGATGGTCGAAAAAGGGTTGAGCCCTAATGCCACAACTTACAATGTGATATTTCGGTCTTTGTATTGGGCGAATAATTTGAAAGCTTCGTGGGGTTTGTATTTGAGGATGAGGGAAGCGGGTTGCTTGCCAAACACTCAAACGTGCATGTTCTTGATTAGGTTGATGAGGAGACAAGAGGAAGTGGGTATTGCACTTGAATTATGGGGTGATATGATTGAGAAAGGGTTTGGTTCGTTTGTGCTGGTCTCGGATGTTTTGTTTGACTTGCTTTGTGTGTTGGGGAAATTGGACGATGCGGAGAGGTGTTTTGTGCAGATGGTGGAGAAAGGGCAGAGGCCAAGCCACGTGTCGTTTAGGAGGATAAAAGTTCTCATGGAGTTGGCTAACAGGCATGAAAGGATTTCGAATTTGTCAGAAAAGATGGAGGCTTTTGGTTCTCGTTCTGGGGTTCAGATGACGAGAAGTTATGTGGATGAATTGGAAAAGCCGATATCTGATTTTGTATCCTGAAAAAACAAAAGAAAAAAAAAAACGTGTAACTTGAAAGAAAACGGCCGTTTAATTTTGTGATGCTCGATAGATATCACTTGGAATTTGTTTCTGTAGTTATTGAAATATGTTTTACTGTTGCCTTGGTGTGGACTATTTTGGCTGTACATTTGCCTTGTTTTTTACTATTTTTCCTTCAAGCCAGTTTTGTAGTTTTGAGAGTGATAAAAGAGCTGGTTGAGCAGACTTTTGAACCTTGTGAAGCTCAGATTATTGTTAACAATCCTATCAGTCAGAATCGGCGAAGGGATAAATTAATCGGCAAATCAAGAGAATTCTCTTTAAGGTCCGTCAGCCTTTTTGCTGACAGTCCTTTTTTCCTCTTCTCTAGCTAAGCTTGTTTCTATGCAGTTTTTTGGTGTTTTTCCCATTACTTGGTTCTGTTTTTACATTTTAGTGTGGGAAGATTTGTAAATAAACATTTTTTGAGGGAAGAATTGGAAAATCACATCTTTGCACTGTGATTTTGGTTGATTTTAGTCATCTGCAATCAATCCCAGAGGGATCTTTTAGCAGCATTCTTCAAATCAATTTCTCAGGTGAAAATTTACTTTCAAACCCAATAAATCTAACTTTATTTCAGTTTGCTGTAGCTTTGTGTAAAATTTACACTTTCAACCCCAAAAATCTAATTTTGAGTTGCACTCTGCACTTTCCATAACCCCAAAAATGTGTGAACAAATCTTGTCTTTTAGTTTTTTGTGCAAGAATGAAGAAAGCTCAACCAGTGAAATAAATAATATTCTTTTTGTCTTCATCAATAACCCCAGTCAATATTACAAGCTGAAAACAGAGGCCTCATATGGCTCAAGGCCTAATCAAGATAATAATAAAATCACACAAAATCCAGTTTCTTACAATAAACCTGGCTTTGTAACCATAATAATACTAAATGCTCATCATGTCCAAAATTAGCCCCAAGTCCTCCTCTTGCAGCTGCTAATACATTTTTTCTTTTCTTTTTTTCTCCATTTCTCCCCCTTAACTATTTCTTCAATTTTCATGCCTACCTTTAGTGGTAAGACCAAACCCGAACGCGAAAAGCGGGTCGTAGTGCGGGTCCCCCACATTCATGGGCAGCTGATCCACCGACTTGAACCAAGTCCTAGCAAGCTTCCCCGTAAACCCGTAGTCCCCAAACAAGGCATCGGTCAGACCCTGCCCTTCTGTCCCGGGAAGCCATGCAGCCACAAGCGCATCTATCTTGTCAAGATAGGGCTCCATCACAACGGGCCGGCCCGAAACAACGACAACAACACACCTGACAAGTCCACAAACATTCCTGATGGTGCTTGGGCCGGGCTCGGTTATGCTGAGGTTTTGACTGTCTCCAAACATCTCGGCATAAGGGACCTCGCCAACTACAACAATGGCGTAGGAAAAGTCGCCGTTTTTGACGAAATTCGGGTCGGGATTTTCCGAGTAGATGACTTGAGTAGAAGGGTCTACTGCACTTTTGACAGCAGCTAAGATTGTGGTGCCTGTTGTTTGTGAGAATACAGAGAACTTTTCAAGGATAGAACGAAAAAAAAAAAATCATTGAGGAATGAAAGATTTGAACTTTTTTTCTTTGTTATGATGATCTTTCTTATTCTAATCTTCTCATGGACTTGGTCATTGCTGCACCATAATTGTGTATATATATTACCATAAGAATCCATTTGTGGTGCCTGTTTGTGAATTCAGGCAACTTTTCAAGGATAGAACTAAAAAAAAATCATTGACGAATGAAAAATTCAACCTTTTTTCATTATTATGATGATCTTTCTTATTCCAATCTTCTCATTGTTATGATATTTAAAATTCTTTAACAATCAACAAACACTTCATGGGATTTTACACACTTACCAACTGTGAGATCATTGCCCGGAACACCTTGCCACTCGATCGTCCAGCCTCCACATTGGTACCCCAAGTTATCGGCATGAGTCCCAGCAACTAAAATTTTCGGCACTTTTTTAGAAAGTGGAATCAATGGCTGATTAGCATTTTTCCCGTTTTTCAACAGGACAAGAGATTTTCTCACAGCTTCCCTTGCCAAGTCCCTATGTTCCTGTACAAACAAGAATGTGATTTGTTTATTTGACTTTCCTTCTAGCTTTGATCACATATTTAAAACATAATAAAAGAAAGAAAGAAAGAAAAACATGGAGATAGATAGATCGATCGATAGATGATAAAATATAACCTGGCTGCCAAGTTTATCTGCTAGGCTGAGATCAGCTATAGGATTCTCAAATAAACCCATGGTGAATTTGACCCTTAATATTCTTTGAACTGCATCATTTATCCTGCTCATGGGGATGATGTTGTTTTTCACTTGTAAGGTCAGTTCATCGATAAATTCGGTGAAGCTCTCAGGAAGCATAATCTGCCAAAAAAAAAAAAAAAATGTTGATCAGTTTCAATTATATTTAGTTATCAACTTATTATCTTTTTTGGCCTCGTTTACTTAAAATGACGTGATTGGGCGCGTTTTCTAATTTTATCCAGGATAAAAAGCAAAATATGAGGTTTATATGGCCTAAATATGTAATTTGGTGGACTCCTAAGGGTAAAAGGGACATTTCACATACCAATTTTTGGACAAAATGGTCAATTCTAAGGTGGGATTAAAATGTCACATCCTCAAGACCGGACAAACTAATTATGCCAATCGTGCCCATAAGACACATCAGCTTATTATCGAATCTCATCATGGTTAGTAACCGTTGAATAAAAAGAGTTATCCAACCATATCTATCCTATTAGCTTAACTAACCAAGGCCTTTATCATTCACTCTAGTTTGATGCTCAAACACAAAACAAAATATTTTTAAATTCTTATCATACTATCTAACTAACCATATCAATTCCTGCAAGAATTCCTGCTTGAACTGAATAAGAATAATTCGCATGCGGTGGGCTCGTGATCCTGTCGATACCCTGCCAATCCGAGATGACAAATCCCTACAACAACATAAAAAGAAGCCGAAAATCGATCAAATCACTATATTTGTACGAGTAAGCTAAAAAAATCAAGAAAAATAGTAAATTTGTTAATTGTTACCCTGAATTTAAGTTTGTTCTTGAGGAAATCCGTTACGAGTTCTTGGTTAGCGTGCATCTTTTTGCCGTTCCAGCTTGAATACGAAACCATTACAGTGGCCACACCTTTACTAATCGCGTTAAAGTACGCGGGCATGTGAATGCTCATCAAACCTTTATAGTCGATCACTGTATTGTTTTCGTCAATCCCGTTCACCGTGCCACCGTCTCCAACAAAATGTTTCGCACAACCAACGACTTTTGTCCTATAAGTAGATTGCAATTATAAAAGTTCAAAATTACAGACGAAAAGGTAATTTCAACTGAAACAAAGTCAATCAAGTTGAACAGGGACATTTGAGAAGCAAGAAAAGAACTTAGAAAAATTATGAATGGAAAATCTCCCCAACCATTTAGAAAAATGATACAAAAACACAGTGTAACAATGTGTCTTGGTCTCCTCAGATAGTGAAAATAAGCAATCTGTTTAATCTTCCAAAATTGCTTATACATTAGTCAATTGTTTTCACCTTCTTTGAAGTAGTTTCATAACTTACACAAGTTTTATAAACTTTCTGGAGGTAATTAGGCTAAACCTCAGGGCTTGTTTAAGCCAATTTTAACGTGTAATCGAATGCAAATTCATAGTTTAAAAATCAAAAAGAGAAAATGAAGATATCTTACTTTTCGGGTTCGACATAAGGAACACCCTTTCGGCCTTTACTTTCACCTTGTAAACCCGGTATTATCTCAGTCATGAGTTGAACAATCTTGTGATCTTCACTATAACTTTCATAACAACGACCCCATCTCGGATCCCTACACACCTGTAAGAAACAAAACAATGTAACAACAATAAGACATACAAGAAAAAACTAAATAAAAAACACTAATAGGAGAGGGATTGAACTATTTGCTTACAGCAATACAAGGTGCAAAAGCATATTGAATTCCTGTGGCTCTAACTTCAAGTGCAGTTGCAGCTCCAATTCTCTTCAAAAGATCTGGATCTCTGTTTTAATTGCATTACAAGAAAAAAGAATTGCTGTTACAATTTTCAAAATTTCAGTTATTACACATCAATTTATCCAAATTTCAAATGTGAGCTCCTTAATTACTCATTCACACACAACTGTTTGAGGTCCAGCTGAAAGTCAACAATAGCAGGAATAATTTTCCTTTCTAAAAGGACAAACTTGCAAATTTCAAGAAGAAGAAAACAAAACAAGAGATATCTGCTCCCAACCAAACAAAATCAATTTCACATGCCAAGAAAAGCCATTTTTCAACACCCTATAATTATAATAATGGCCTTTGAATGACAAGAATCAATGACTTATTGAGTACAAACTATTTCACACACACATTTAAAGTATAGAAGAAATTATGATTATTCTTGCCTGGTGACTCCAAGTCCAACATTGTGAGGAAAAATAGTGGCCTTATACACATTGTTGTGGCCATGAACAGCATCAATGCCATAAATCATAGGGATTCCTAATCGAGTCGAAAGGGAAGCCTTTTGGAGGTCATTCACCATGTTCACCCAAACCTCAGCTGAAGCTTTGGGAGCTGGTACACTTCCTCCTCCACTCAACACACTCCCTGTCAAAAAAAATACAAAAAGATTTAACTTCTCAAAACAATAATAGCACATTAGATATTCAAATACCAGAAAAAAAAAAAACAAAAAAAAAAAACAAATAGAAATCTTGATGAAACCAAGAAAAGCTTGTTTTCTTAGTCTACTGAACAGAGAAAACCTAAAGCCCCCACAAACCCACTTCTCTTGAAAAAAGAAGAGATGTTGTAGGAACCCAATAAAAGCTTTTATATAAAAATTCTACGGAGCAATCGGATATGGAGCCATCCACTTAATGTATTGACACCTGTCCAAATTGTATTATTGCAAGACACATGTCAATACACTATTAGTGAATAAATGTGGATGAGTCCATAAGCCGACCATCCGATGACTCCATAGCAAGACAGAGCTTTTACATACTTGCAAAAAATCTAGTGCCTAACAAATGAATAGATACACACACACTGTTTCACCCAAAAATCAAGAACTTCCCCTTGTATTTATAACAAAATACTCAAAACCAGCTAGCACAAAGATTAAAGAGAAAAGAAATAAGAGATCTTGGCAAAAAAAAATATTAAATGAACAAAGCATGACAGAAAAAGATTGCACTTTTAATTTAATTTAAAAAATAAAAACAAAAAAATCTCCTCACCAATGGAGTACTTCTTCATGACATCAGGAGAGGCCAACTTCCTCTCAATCTGAGTCATCTGCCCAATCTTCTCCTCGAGAGTCATCTTGCTCATCAAGTCTTTGATTCTAGCACCAATGGGCTGTTTTGGATCTTTGTATTTCACATACTCGGCCTCTGTTGAAGCAGCCCACAAGCAGAGCAAGCTTAAAAGCAACAAGGGCTTAAGATATAACCGCTTCGCTTCCAACCCCATTACCGCTTTTTCTTAAAGAAACTCTCTTTTCACTGCCATAATCAAAGAAAATGGTGAGCACACACACATTACAGAGCTTGCAAAATACAAATAGCATTTGTACTCGAACACCATACCTATCTGTGACCAAATGCAGCTGCTCAGATGGCTGTGAGAGAGAGAGAGAGAGAGAGA